ATGCATTTTTGCAGGCCTGGACACAGCACAGCAGTCTCTGGAGACACAGTGGCAAGCCAAAACAGAGAAGGTTCCTGACCTTTAGCTTATGGTCCAGTTGCAGGAAGCTCTACAAACATTAACCAAAAACCTCCCTAATGAACATCTCACTGCTAACTAAAATGAATGCACCAACGACCCCACCTGGACTAGGAATTGGGAAGTCTTTCTGAAGAAGTGATGTTTGAGCTGATCCAAAAAAAAAAACCAGAGTAGAGAGGTCATTTCTACAAAGGAGGAGCTTCATGTGCAAATGCCCAGGGATGGAAAGGAGCCATCTACTCCTGCTATTGTGGAGAATCATAACTTTTAACCTTCAGTAAAATCTGAACTTGAAGGAAAATGTTCCTGTCTAAAAATGTGCTTCCCTTTCCTTTTCCCCTTCCACTTACCCCACACTTAATACTGAGACACGCAGAGAAGGTGAGCTGTGCAAGAAGAGAAACCCTTACAAAAACAAAACTTGCAGACAGCAGCTATGACAGCCATTTCCTGGTTGGTGTCTCTCACCACAAAACTTCTTAGCCAAATAAATTGACACAGGAAAACATTTTGGATATGGGTGAAGAAGAAACATATACTGAGAAAATAAGAAAACTCCCATCTGCTTTTCAGACCAGAGCTGCAAGTTTGGGGCAGTGGCCAGAGCACAGGAACTGTATCTGCCTCACAGACGCAAGGTCCAGGGCTCAGAGAGTGGAAGGGATGCTGTCAGTGGTGGGGCTGGGGCTTTCCCTGTCTCGTGGCCCTCTGTTAAGCATTCTTTCTTTGCCTCACTGCCTCCAGTCCCATTGGACCAGATTTGCTGCTTTCTTCTATCAGAGAAGGGCTCATAGAGTTGGAACTGCCTTCTACAACCACAGTGGTAAAGCTTACTTTTGCCTTGGGTACAGGAGCACAGGGTCCACAAATAGGAAGAGGCTAAGTGACAGACATTTTCTAAATTTCTAAATTTGCTTTTTGTAGTGACTGTGGGAGACAGTTTACAAATGAAGAATCTGATCTGCTGAAAAGCTAAAAAGCTACCCAAGTGCTCACTCAGCTACAACCTGGCAGAGCTAAAATTTGAACTTGATCTAGCTTGGAAACCCATACTTTCTCCCCTTTTCTTCATCACACAGCCAGAGTATTCTGTAGTGAAGCTTCCTCAGTATCCCCAAACTGAGCCCCTTCCGCAATGGGCCAAGCATCACCACACACTGACCCTCAGCTCATATCTTCTTACACATGGGGACAGATGTCATACAGATGCCTAGGTCATGAGTCCTCCAGGGAAGAGGTAGCTGTTGGCTGCTGTCCCATTACAGAGGCTGCCATACTTCCATGCCTTCCAGAAGTATGACTACTTGGACTGGCTCCGATTCTCTTACTTGCAGCTATGTGCAGTACTTTTTGTTTTGTTCCACTTTCCTAGATGTCACAACAGAAAAGTCCCATGCAAAACACATAAATTTTGCCAGCACAATATCCAGTCTTTCTGTTCCTTCCAGAAAAACCTCCTGGCTTACAATCCCCAGGTAACAATACAGCAGTAAGACCCAACCTCTCAATGCTCAGGTCTTGGAGGAGATGGGGTGAGATCCTATCAGGTTGAAGTACCAGTGGATGGCATCTCCCAAGGGTGTTCTAAGAAACACTAATATGCCATGGGTTATTGATAACTTTTCCACCAAAACAGAAAACTAGATCACTTAGCTTTAGGATTTCTCAAAGACTTAAGCATACAAAGATGCTTAGAAATCCTCCAATACCCATTCTGTTCATCTTTCTCTAAATAACAGAATTCCCAAATCTTCACTGAGCTACTTATCCATGAGACTTTTTCCTAGCCTCCCTTGTAGCTGGGAACAAACATTTGACAAAGATTTGAACACAGGTATACGAGCAGAAGTGATGTGTCCCTTCTACTCATGTCATTAGAAGAAATAAGCTTTGACATGACTTGCCTTTTCTCCTTCCTGCCAGATGGGAGGCAGATGTGATGACAAGAGCAGGATCAGCCACTTTGTACCAGAGAGCCACCCTCCCAACACTAGACTATGTATCTCTGGAATGCTAGTGAGAAAGAAATGTCTGTCTTGTCTTAGCAAGTTAGGCTGACCCCAAAGTCATTTATGCATTCATATGCATCATAAATCTCTAAATAGAATATCTAGCATGCAAAATTTTTCAAATGTATATGACTTTTTCACAGGGCTGGGGATTGAATTTAGGATCTTGCTCGTGCTAAGCAAGTGCTGTACCACTGAGCTACATTCCCTTTAAAAAGAGATAAAAACAAAACAAAAAACTTTTTTTAAATGTTTGAGGCTAATACCTCTAAAATATATGACCCTAATACCTATTTCCAAACAGTTCAGAACTGTGTTCCTTGAAACACATCTGGGGAACTCTAAAAACCCTTTTCTAATTCCCAGAATCCCAAACTATAACTCAGTCCACAGCCCACTTGTCTCTAAATCATTATCCAGGGATTTATAGGCACAAATTGTCCATCCCATACACTTATATAAATATAAAAGTATCCCTTTATTCCTCCAAGCTACTGACCTTAGCCCCACAAAGCTTCCCACCCCAAGCCTCTAATTTTGAGAGTCCATGTCCCAAGGGCAAAATAAAGAAAAAGCTGTTAGGGCTGGGGATTTAGCTCAGTGGTTCCACTGCCAGCCTCACCAAGTGCAAGGACCCGAGCTTGATCCCAGGTACCAAATAAATAAATAAAAGCTGTTCTGCTGAGCATGGTAATGCACGCCTGTAATCCCAGCACAGGAGGCTGAGGCAGGAGGATCTCAGTGAGTTTGAGGCCACCCTGGGCTACATAGTGAACAGTGAGCTCAAGGCCAGCCTGAACTAAAAAACTGAAAAAGGAAGGAAGGAAGGAAGGAAGGAAGGAAGGAAGGAAGGAAGGAAGGAAGGAAGGAAAGAGCTGTCAAATGCCACTCTCAATTCCAAAAGAAACCAGTAACAAAAGTTATAGTAAAAATAAAGAGCCCTGGCATCCTGATTTTAAAAAGGCTCCCAAGAAAGAAAGAGAACCACATCCGGAAGAATAAGTTTAGAAAACAAAAGTACTCATTTGATTAAAAAAGAAGAAAATCCTACAACTAACACTATGCTTAACAATAAAGGGCATTATATTTAATGGTAAAAGTTTGTCCTCTAAGGCCAGGAACAAAATGAGAATGGTGCCTTCTCACAATTCCTTTTGCTTTTCATCATTTTAGTGAACTTTTAACCTAAGCAATGAAAAAAAGAAAAATGAGGCAATCAGATTGTATTTAGGAAGAAGTAAAACTATTTCTATTTGCAACAATATATCTTATATACAGAAGATACACATTAATAAATCTAATAAACAAGTATAGCAGCAAAGTTCTGAGTTCAATCCCTGGTACAAAAAAAAAAGTTCAAGACCAGCATGGCCAATTTAGTGAGACAATGTCTCAAAAAATAAATAAAATAGGGCCAGGGATTTAGCTCAGCAGTGCCTGCTTTGCAAGTGCAAGGTCCCAAGTTCAATTCCCAGTACCAAGAAAGAAAGAGAGAGGAGAGAGGGAGAGAGAAGGAGGAGAGAGAGAGAGAGAGAGAGAGAGAGAGAGAGAAGGGATGGGAATGTAGCTTAGTCTAAAGACCCTGGGTTCAATCTCCAGTACTGAAAAAAAAGTAACAACAACACTAAGATTCCACCTCACCCCACAAAGAATGGCTGCTATCAAGAAATCACACAATAACAAATGTTGGCGGGGTTGTGGGGAGAAAGGAACCCTCCTCCATTGTTGGTGGGAGTGCAGACTAGTGCAACCACTATGGAAATCAATATGGAGATACCTCAAAGAGCTTGGACTGGAGGTTCCATTTGACCCAGCCATCCCTCTGTTGGGTATCTTTCCAAGAGAACTGAAAGAATCATATCACAGAGAAGTATGTGCACCCATGTTTATAGCGGCACAGTTTGTAATAGCTAAATCTTGGAAACAACCTATTTGCCCATCCGTTGGAAACTGGATAAAGAAG